ATTTCATTATCTTCTTCCCTGGAGCACACAGGAACCATCGCTGGGGATTTGTACCATGTGAATGTCCTGCAGTTCTTTGGCCAACATGGATTTTTATTCTCCTCGTACCATGTTTAGTAGACGGTAGTTGGTGGAGTCTTCCGAGAGAGGTAAATGACGGCCGTGTGAATTAGTGTTTTTTCTCTGTCTTGGCCTTCAGTGAAAAGCACTGTGGTGTGTTTAAAAAATGTTCAAGACAGAGAGAGAGAGAGAGAAACTCACAGAATATTGAACACCCCCTCAGGATAAAGTTAAGGGTACTTTAGTTGTTGAGGGAGGAGAACGAGCAAAAAAAAAAAATCTTCTTTACGCATGCAACAAGTGTTACGTGGCTTCACAGGATAAGAAATCCCAAAGTTTCTTGGAGCTTTGAGCCAGAGCTGTGATTGTGTGAGGACGTACACATATAAAGGTAGAAATAGACACATGCACACACACTCACAAAGAGCACCAACAGCATGTGGTAGTGTGTGCTGTTACAAGTAAATTAAACAGTGGGAAAAAGATGAAAAAGGTCAGCCATGTCACATCTTCATACTGTAAATTAGCTCTCTTGCTCCGACTCTAAGTAGTAGTAAAAGAGCCAGAGGGAGCCTAAACAACCTTTTTAGCAAATACACCCAGTGAGCAGCTTTTATGTAAGATGGAGGGATGCAGTCTCAGAACTTAGTATCAAGTTCTCTTTTCCTTCTTTTTTTGACAGTGTATAAAGTTATGCTTACATAACTTCTTTAAACACAGGTCTCTTTTCTTGTCAAAGTGTATTTCTGACGGTGCTCTTGGTACTCCACTCAGGTGGTCAGTCAATAAGTCAATAATAATTTAAACTGTTCATCTGTATGTTTATACTGTAGCAAGAAAGTGATCCTACCTTGTGCCTGGTAAACAAGGGTTAGATTTAGGGTTAGGGTTAGAGTGTTTTCACACTTGGTCTAGCTACCAGATTGGTTTTCTCAATTGTTTTTGGAGGGGGAGTCATTAGTGTGGGTTTGTTCTATGATATAAATTGATCAACAAAAGGATTATATGTATAAAAGGACAAAGGACAAAGTTAATGTGGCACGTAGAACAATCGTGTTGTTCAAGCAACAGCTTTCACATTTCACCAAGCGTACTGAATTCTCAGGGAAAACAACCTCTGGACCAGGAAAGACCCCTCCAATCAGCCCAAGTGTAAAATCACCCTAAAGGTATTATCCCACCAAATGTAGGGCAAAGCATTTAACTGTTCAGTAGAATGAACATGTGCAACCAAAGGCACATCAATAATTTAGTTCTGTGACCTTGCATAGTAAAAATGATGGAGACATTCTTCATCTAATCAAGACCTTCATAGAAAGCACCAGCTGCATTAACATGACAGATACTACGGCTTGCACAACAAATACCAGAGGGGATAGAAATACCTGTCAAATGTGACCCAAGCCTGACTGGTATGCTAGAGCAAAATGTCAGAAAATATTATTTAAAAGTCCTAAAGGTTTGAGAGTGTTCAGTTTCACGCAGAGGCACCTGGAGCCAAATCAACACCCGCTACTTCTTCACAATATGGTTATGGATGTGACGGTTTATCTCCACAAGGAATTTACTGCTTTAAATTTTTCTATTTTTAGAACAAAATCAGTGAACCTGACAGTATGAAGTACATTTTAACTTATATAAACTTAAAATAAAATAATAAAATAAACTAAAGTGAGATGCTCATTATATTAATTATGTCTGGTGTACTTGATAGGAACAGCAGCCTGTCTGTACAATCAGTGGTTGTCAAACTAGAAAAAGTGCCTTTTGTGTTTAGTATGAAAGAGTTTTATGATGGAAAGATCTTTACGTACATCTATGCTATAAGTGCATACACATATGCACAAATATTTTCTCACAAACACAACATGCACACAACAGAGTCCCCCGCTGTCCCTCAGCTGCATTTGAATCAAAGCCCACACAGCCATCTGCTTTGAGCTGGGAAACTCACAAGCAGGAGATGAGGGTCATCTGACTATAAATAAATATGAATTCCATTACATTATGATCCATTATACATCCACAGTGGACTGTAAAAATAATATCTGTGGCCACTTCGATCGTCTGACAGTTTGCGCTGTGGGAGAAGTAATGATGTCAAACATGGGGGCTGACATTAAAAACAACTACAGTATCTGTTATGGGAACATGTGCATAAGCAAAAATATATTTTGACTGTAATTACACACACAGAAAAAGAAGTGTTGCAATTATTAATAAAAGCATTTATATATGTATATATATGTATGTATATGTGTATGTATATATCATCTTCGCAGAGTTTTGGAACAACCTCCCTGACACGGTCCGACCAGAAACTTTGCTAATAACTTTTGAATCTCAAGTTAAGAGTTGCGCCTATACTTAATCATAGAGGTGGAAGAGTGTTCCAGTGTTGTTTGAGTTGCTTTATCCTGTCTATCACTGTAATATGTCACTGCATCTTGTCTCTGCCTTTAAACTGCAAACTATAAATTGCACTTTATAGCTCAGCTTTTCAAAGGATATAATAATAATAATAATAAGAAGAAGAAGAAGAAGAAGAAAAAGGAGAAGAAGAAGAAGAAGAAGCCTGGTGATATTCTATATTATTGTTATTATCAACTAATTCCATAGATGACCAAAACCAACACTATGTACGTTCATCTCTCGACCCTTTCTTTATTTGAGCGACTTTGACAAGGGCCAAATTGTGATGGCCGACTGGGTCATTATGACCACCAGGGTGTCCAGGTGGTCATAATGTTATGGCTGATCGGTGTGGCAAATATCACCCAATCAACAGTGTGGCTCACTGGTGTCTTTTAAATAGTTTTTGTACAACAATGGAGCTCTATGGCACAGCCAAATAAGGTTTTGGATCGAAACCATCCATACCAAATATTTCATTATAGTTCTGACATCACTTCAGAATGCACAGATTTCAGCTTTATTAGTGTGTTTATTAAAGTCTAAATTTAATTAGCTATCATTAAAAGTTCTCTCTTTTTTTCCCTTTTTTTTTAGCTGCAACACAAAGGAACTAATGGACAGCCAGACAGATGATCAGTAGAGTGAGTGGACGACGGTAAAACTGCATGGACTGCATAAACCAAACAAGGCTAAGAAAGATCTGGCTTAATTCCTCCCCAGTGAGCTGTTTGGTCCCTAAAGTGTCAACATATTGATCATTACATTGTGAGGGTTTTTTCTTTGTTGGCTGAAGAATCCAATTAGAGAATATTTCCCTGGCATTTTCAGACAACTGATGGCTGAACAGCTTTAATGAAATGTTAAACTACTGCGTGCTCACAAATGCCTTAACTAGAACCTCACCCTTCTCATCCAACACACACACACAGAATAACAACAAACACACAGTGAGCACAGCAAGAACTTAATTGGACATAAGTCATTTCTTTTGTGTGTGTGTGTGTTTTTACACTTACCTCTCTCCACTGTTTGGTTTCAACACCTTGTGTATACAGCACGCATACTGTGAAAAAAGAACCAGATAGGAACAGAAAGAGATGAAATGTCGTGAAAGAAAGAGAGGCAAAAAGGGAGATACGATCAGAGAAGAGCAGGCAGATTCCAAATGGGAAATCAATGTGAGGGTTTTAGCTCCAGTACAGTGAACAAACAGTCGTGGCAAAACAAAGATTTCCCAAATCACAGGGCAACATATCCACAAAGACAGACAAAAAAACACAAACCAGTAGAGAGGGAGAAAAGACAAAAATGGGGCCGAACTGAAAGCTGTATTTTTTTAAGACCAGTGTGTAACATGAAATTGAATATAATATTCATATGTTTTCATTAGTGTATAATCGCCTGAAATAAGGAATCACTCTGCATTGGTTACCTTACAATGAGCCATTTTTATCTACAGAGGGAGTGGGTCCTTCTCCACAGAGGCTTCCATGTTGAACAACCCCATTTCTACAGTAGCCCAGAATGGATAAACCAAACACTGGCTCTAGATAGGCCCTTTCACGCTTTTTGCAAGTTTTCTCGCCATTGGAAAGCAACTGTAATTTTACTCCTAGATGCCACTAAATCCTACACACTGGTCCTTTAAAGAATGGAGAACTGGCACAGAGATGACAGAAGAACACAGACGTTCAGTCTCTACAACATACTCACATGGATCTGACTTGGAAAATGTGTCTTTATCCAGCAGATTTCTGGGAAATGAAGACAGAGAAGAGAAACATTTGTTACTCAATAACAAAGAACCTCCTGTAGACTCTCCATACTGTTATTATTATATATGATGCAATTGTTACATTACTGGCCAAACAGTCTAATTGTAGATTCACATGAAGCATACAAAACTTTACTCTTTAAGAGATTATTGCATCCCTTTCAGTGATTTTTCACCACCACACTTGACTACCAAGGCTACCCATAACACCTTGCAAATAGCTCAAGAAAATAGAAATAACACAAGAGGAAGAAAAACAATAGCCCTTCACAATCTCAAGCAATAAGTGATTGTAAAAGTAGTTCAAGGTTACTGTCACACTAGCAATTTAACCTGTATGTTAAAGGTCCTTCACACCCATGCCATGTTTTCAATCATTCTGGCTAATTAGACCTCTGCGGAGGTTGGATGTGGGCGGAGCTAAATTAGTAATTATACAACAAGTCCTTCAGATTAAAAGACAAAATAGGTTGTTGTCTCTACAGTGACACACAGAAGAGTTCTCTAATCTGACACCCTATCGACAGGACATCATCATTTGTCAATGCCTGCCAAAAATTACAAATCAGTGTTCTCACTAAAATCTGTTTTATTATTTATAATAACACTGTGGTTAGGGTTTGGTTAAGTTTGGGAGAAAGATGACTTGGTTAGGTTTACGGAAAGATCATAGTTTGGTTTAAAATGACTACTTTCTTAAGGTTAGGGCAACTTTATAGTCTTAATAACAAACAAGACAAGACAAGGTTGAGGTTAGAAAATGACTGTGGTCATGCTTCAAAAACAATGTTGTCTGTGAAACAGGAAATGAGCCGCTCTCTCCTGTGTTAAAGTCAGGTACTTTGTTGACCCATCCATCCACCTCGACTTCTTTCCTGAGCAAAATTTGGTACTCCACCTCACTTCCTCCTCTGCAATTGTCGTAATACCTATGCCTGCATAAACATATTATATGTCTTTTTGGAGTGCTTGCTGAAATGACTGATGCTGTTCTTGCTGGGAGGACAGCTGTCCCACCAAGCAGGTCTAGTAGCTAACAGAAGAGTCAGAGAAGAGTCAAACAAGACTGAGTACAGGTCTATGCACTTTCAAAGTAAGTTCAAATCAATATACCCATTTGATTCTAGTTTTAATCAATGATTCTATGTGTAGTTTTACTGCGTGGCTGGAGATAATAGCATAGATCAAGTTCTGTATGTCTATGAGATAAGAGAGCACTTAAACATGAAACCGTAGCCATGAAGTGTCTGGGTGCACAAGCTTTTTTACATTTACAATCTCTCACATGTGCAAGTCTGAAAACACATGCTCATTTATACATTCAGAGACTACAGGAAATTGTTGGGTTTTGGAATCTCATACAATAGCTGCCTGATTACCAGCATGTCTGTTTGTTTACTGAATGCTCAACAATTTCTCCGCCCTCCAAACACCCACCACACCTCGCTCTTTGTGATAGCGTTCAATATGTAAGGTAAAGTAAAAAATAGTTGCAGGGTAACAAACTTTTGTGTAAGATTAGACTATTTATTGAACTTCATCATCATCTGGATTTTAGAGGCAACGTTGTTTAAAAAATATGCCAGTTACCCTAAATTGTAATTAGTACAATTTATTCCTGCATCAATGGTATTTATTATCAGCTGGTAACTATGGCAGATAATGTCTGGAGACATAATTTCAATAGGAAACTTATCACAGATCCCATTTTAAAAGAATCCTCTGAACAGGAATTTTCATTAGCACCCGTAGCATTCATTTACAGCAAAGGTTGGAGACAGAAAATTATAGGCTTGTGTAATGCAAAGAGAAAGACCAAAAAGGTCATTGTCAACAGTCTCTTTAGAACGGTGTCCTTCTCAGCCCATCTGTCCCACTCCTGCATCCAGTCACTGTCACTTAATCTGAGAAGTGCAGTCTTTCAAATTTTCACTTTCTCTAAATGCTAATATGCTTCATGCATGAAAGGAGTGAATGACAAGACAATTATCTTAACTATAATAAAACATATTGTTGATCATAAGGTTACATGCTTATCATGTCTTCAAAGTATTGTGTATAGAGTGCACTTTTTATAAATTGACATATGATTTATTTAACTTATGTTTGAAACTATGCACATGGATCTATACTAGCATGTGAACTTTTATTACATTATTTAGTGCAGAAATAATTAATACTTGACTCAATACAACAACAACAATACAAATTAGATGTTTCTCTGTTTTATAGTAATCAGAAATGAATGCGTTGTTTGAAGGATCACAGCTTTCCCCCTTCATATTGGCTTTAGATGTTTTGATCTTTAATTTAGAGATCATTAGTGTCAAAACATCTCTCCTCTCTTTACCTCTCTCATTATATTGTGTTTGTTTTATGCTCCTGACATGCACACAGGTACATCATAGTAATTTTCGGAGGTGTATGGGAGTCTTTTATCTGAGAAAACACTCAAAATTGAATCACATTTGACTGTCAGTCACATGTCAAGTGTGTGTGAAAGATTTCAGATTTCAAGAACACCATTTAGGTGTCTTTTTCTTATTCACGCAAATCCATCTCTCAACAGAAGTTGGATCAACCAATCAGATTTCTTGATGCATCCACACAAAGCGTTGTTCCTGTGCAACATACTATAACTCTTTGAAGAACCATTACTCCAGTTTTACTGGTTTGTTTGATAATTAGACATGTGGCAAATGTAAGTGAAATATTACATGTTCAATTAAGTTCGACTTTTAATGACACAGCTTTAACTAGACTTTCAAATGATGTGTTTCGTGAGCAGTTCAAAAAATGGAGACAGAAATCCAAGGCCCAATCTAACCAACCCAAACCCATTAAGGCAATGCCTACTAGCCAATCAGAGGAAGAGTAGGGTGGGTCATGGGTTCTGCCACTGACAACGAAGAAGAGTTGATAGTAAGAGCTAGCTAAATGTAAGCAATTTGACTGTCAAACTACACTGTGTTCCAAATTATTATGCAAATATGATTTCAATTAAAGAAATATTAGATTTGTTGTTTTTCAATGAAAGTTTTCAATTGTGCTGCTTCCCATGTCTGTTTAAATCACTGACATCAATCTCAGACAGGTTTTAATTAGAAGTTGTCAGGTGAGCCTAATTAATGGAAAAAAAACTACTTTGGATGTTGTTCCACCCATTATTAGCAAAGTCACAGGTTTCATGGCAATAATGGGGGGGAAAAAAAGATCTTTCTGGCAGATAAAAAGCCGTGACCATAGTGGCAGTATCTTTCCAATAGGTATGAAACCGACCTGGATGTTTTACGAAATGATTAAGAGAGATCATCGGTCTTGGTGAAAAGATTTGTGTCTGGTTCAAGAGCCCGCAATATGGGTTACGTTCCCAGAATAAAGGCGTGTTAAGGAACAGTTTTCTGTGAGTGGGAGTTCCTAACTGCCCATGCCAATTTCTGCCCGCATGGGTATAAAAAGAAGAAGCGCGTGCCTTCCCTGAGTAAAATCATTTATGTAAGACACGCACCCCATCCCATCCATGCAACAAATACCATTGAAGGCCTTGGCTGCTATGGACATAAAGGAAGAATAAAATCACAGTGTCGCCACCAATCCATCTCCGCTTGAGCCTCAACCCTATTGAGAACCCTGTGGAAACATCCACTTAAAAAGGAAGCCGCTATGAGGGGGGGTGGGGTTTTACCCTCAAAACAGCAGCTCTGGGGAGGCCAATTCTGGCCAATCCTCAAAAATGAAAATAGCCAAAGGCCAGAAACCTGTACATGGACTTAACAAGTTCAATGAATGAAGAGAGTTGTGTAATGTGATAGCTCAAAGAAGGGCTCGCTATGTTACTATGTAACTCGGTCTGTAAGATGTTTTTGATTGGAATAGCTCTTGATTTGAGAAAAACTACCCCTACCGATGCAAAAAAGTACAACAGATTTTTGCTGTTTTCATACTTTAGAAACCTATTGAGTGTTTTGAAACTCCTGTCTTTGCATAATAATTTGGAAGAAAAAAAAATTGCCATTACTGCCAATTAAATCAACTAGGGAAAAAAAGAACAAAAACAGTATATGTATAATAATTTGGAATACAGTGTAGATAAAAACAAGCACTGTACCTTTGAACATGGTTCATTTTGTACCTTCTTTTCTGTACCCTTAGTGACAAAAATTTACCTTTATGTCCTGATACAAAAATTTACCCATTGGAAAGGTACAGACAGACTCTTTTGCAGGAACGCCCTGATCACATTTGCACTGTTACACTGTTCATACCCGGAAGCTGCCCAGTACAACCACAGCGGTTTGTGTTACGGTCCTTTCTCAAGGGAACCTCATTAGTGGTAATGAGGGAGGGGCAAGTGCTGCTTCTTAACTTTCCCCACCCAGGTTTATCCTGCCTGTTCCAGGGATTAAACCGACGACCTTCTGGTCACAAGCTGCTCACACTCCCAATTTATTTAAAGAAATAACAGTATAAGTAGTTTACAACCTTAAACACTTTTCAGTACTTACTCATTGTATTGTTCAACTAGAACTGATTTGTCCATAACAAGTAAATGCTGTAATGGCCTAAATCAAGTTTTAAACTCTGTAAGCTTATGCAGTGCCGACTGCAAGTGCACTTGCCACAGGCACATGCCACATCAGACTGCAGGGGGAAAAACGGGTTGCACTACCCAAGTCTACAGGGAGGGCCACGGCATTAAATAAAATCTAATAAATAAAGAAAAAAGGAGGAGGAATGCAAAGAATGAGAAAATAAGAGTGATAATACTTAATAAAAATTATGTAATGGTAATGGCTAGTGGAAGCATTTCACTCTGCTACACTGACAATTAGCTACTTGATTAAATGAACAAAATCACTCAACTAGTTCCATTCTGAACTTGCCAATACACGCTGAAGAACACTGTCTTGCCCAAAACGTCTGTGTAGCAAAATTAAAAAAGTTGAATGGAAGCGCTTTCTTTCCTACTGCTCATGAAAT